TATAACGTTGATAGTAACCGCTACACTTTGTCACGTTCATCTGGACTTGACCCCACTGCTGATAATACTACAGTCGTATCACCCGCACATGTTTAAGATATATATTTCCTTAAATATTCAGCGTGGCCTGGTTTCTGTTAGATGGCACATTAGTGCTGCTCTGTGCAAAACTAGTTCAGCAAACATATGTGTCAGTGCCAATGTTTACTCAGTTTCTTCACGAAGGTGGGGATTTCGAAAGCATTTACAATCTCCTGTCTGCTCGTACCAAGTACAGCTCACATTTAAAATGACTCCTGTTACTAAGAGACATTTTCAACTCCTTTTTTAAATGACCTAACACGTATGTAGTTTACTTATTCATGCATCACATGCATGAATAAGCACCACAATTGTCATTTGCAGTGGTGTAAAGTAACCAAGTACATTTACTTTAGTACTGTTCTTAAGTACAATTTTGAGGGACTTTACTTGAGTATATCAATTTGTTGCTACTTTATACTTCCACCCCACTACAATTCAGAGGTTAGTCGTGTACTTTTACTCCACTACATTTCATAAATAGCCTTAGTACTTTACATATATGGATTAATGATGTGAAAAATAATTTAATATATTTCAATAGAATACATATATATATATATCTATCTTAAATAATACTTTAGTTACACCTGTAGTAGAACTCACACTCTGAAATGGATAATTCTGCATAAAGAGTACTTTTACTTTTGACACTTTAAGTATGTTTTCATGCCAATACTTTTGTACTTTTACTTGAGTAACATTTTGAATGCAGTATTCCTACACTCTGGTACTTTTACATTTACTTAAGTACAACATCTGAGTACTACTTCCACCTCTGATCATTTGAAATAGTCTATTGCTCTATGTTATGTATTTGTATGTGTTAAATATATATTATATATGTTGCATTGTTTGAGACGCTTGGGCAAATAAGCTATCCATTGCAATGTGACAATACAATATATAAATCTTGAAAGTATTCTGTGTTCACAGGACGCTCCTCAGTATCCAGGGTACCCCTCACATTACTGGTATCCGGAGTCTCATGCAACAGGACACTATGCAAACACCTATCCATCGGGATCAGATGTCCCACCACAGTACAATCAACAGGTAGAACATAAACTGGCCCTTTTTTTAATCCTCGGGTGTACAGTAGCAGTAAATCTGCTCATTATCCTTAAGTCTCTTAAGTGATTTCACCCTTCCCTCACATATTCTAATGCCTATGTTGTAACAATTACATCACTGTGATACAGTAACACACAGATAAGGGAGGGTCTTAAATTAATCCCCATCTCTTGTGCTTTCGATGAAGGTAATGCCTGCAGGTTATCCAAATGGCCATGGTGTCTACAGCCCAGCGCAGAACCAATACTCGACTAGTGGTTTCCACCCGTCCAACCCGTTTTACTGTGCTGACACTCAGAGACAGGCTCCAGGGCCGTACCCCAACCAGGCCTGTCCTGCCGAGCAGAGCAGTGGGCCGTCTGGGCACCCCCAACACCAGCATCATCACTATCCTGGTCCACAGTGTCAAGGGGTGAGGACATTCGTAAAATATGAAACGATATTAAATGTTGATATCGTCACAGTCAGTGTTTAATGACCTTAGTTCCTTCTCGCCATCATCTCGTATTATTCATGGAAACTGTTGTTGAACATTTTTGGGGTTCCTTGAGAAAAAAACAGCATGAATGAGGTGTGAATAGATGAATAATGACTTGTAAATATAAAGCACTTTTAGTAGTTGTAAAGACAGGATAAAGCGTTGTATAAATACCATTTTAAGTCCTCTTCTCATTTACCATTTCTTCATAGATTTTGATTATAAAATGAACACTGCTCTGCTTCCAGGGTCCTGGATATCCTACTGGGGCATACCCTCACTACAGTGAAGGAGGTCATGCAATGCCCTCAAACCCCCCGTACCCCACTGGCCAGCCCCTCCACCCTAGCCCCCAGTCTGATGGATGGACACACTCTGGAGCGTATGCCCCCCCACAGCAGCAATGGCAGCCAGGCCAGCAGCCTCCACAAAACCACTACGGCAATCCTGTCCGTCCGTCCCACCCTCCAGCATGGCCCGGGACTGGAACTGGAGCTCCACCACCTTACCAACCCAAGGTATGATCTACAGCGGCTTGATTTCAATGTGGTTGTCATGATTCATGGTTTTTATTTAGGGGTTTTAATGAAAAGATAGGCTGATATAAGATGGAAAAAACTCACAAAGTATCGCGATTCTCAGGAGTCAATTCATTTTGAATCTAAGAAACCTCCGTGATAATTGTTCGATAAGGTACAATCAAACTTGTGATCTGAATTTCATTAACTAGAGATATAAGAACATCTTTAAAGGTCCCATGACATGCTTTTCCGGTTATTACCCGTCCCCTTGTGTGTTATGTAGCTTTTTATGTGAACGGTCTGCAGAGTCACAAACCCTCAAAGTACACCCTGTAGCGAGTAAAACTCTAAGACAGAAAAGACCTGTCTATGCTGCCCCAGAACGCCTCGTTGGAGATTTCTCTTTTTCCATTTTTTTTCTTCCTGAGAAAAGTGACGTAACGAATCCCAGGTCCAAATGGACCAATCCGTGGAGCTCCTCACACACACACACACACACACACACACACACACACACACACACACTCAGTCAGCCTTATCTTTTCTCAGCCGCGGTAGTCCGCGGAGTTTCGCCGGCACACACACTCACTCAGCCTTATCTTTTCTCAGCCGTGGCTCCGCTGATCTCCACTCACGTGTGTGTGCTCAGGCTGAGTTCCGCAGTGTCTCGCTGTCTCGCAGACCCCACGCAGCAACCAGGAAACGACACCAGTAATACACCTCACACTGTCCGCTCCTCGATCCTCAAAGGGCGGAGCAGCGAGCCCCACAACGTCCCGCCAACACGGCACCCAGACCCCACGCAGCATTCTCATCTGTTTGTCATTACTGGTGTCATTTTCTGGTTGCTAACAAACGCCATTGTAACACATAATCCAACATCACAATTATTTACATTATTACAGTGGGCTCATAGGCAGGGGGGGGCTGGAGTATTTTAGTATACCTCAACAATGGAATTATGATCAGCAGAAATGTCCATGACATGGGACCTTTTAAATCGGTTGAAAATCAAATTGATAGTCTATGATTTTACAATTCTTATAAGCAGTTTTGATGGATGAAAGTAGGAGGCATGTAAACAGAGGTAAAATGAGAGATGAACGGACTTTAAACTGTTGTTTGAACCTTTGTCACTTGACTAGTAAAGACATTTGGTGATTGTCGGTTGTTATAGTGTCAACACAAGTCAGTCACATTCACTTTTTTGAGAACTTTATTTTGCCTACTGTCCACTCTAAGCCTGTGTTTTCCTTGTATCTGACTTGCTAATAGAAATATTAAGCAAGGCAACAAAGATAGTGCCCATAAGACACCTCTCCATGCTTTTAACTACTCCACTACTTGTATGGCCTTTACTGAAAAACCTCACATAGTCACTTGCCATAAGTTGATTTTCCAGAAGTAAGCCGGCTACAACCGTCACTTTTCTTTGCAATGGCAACATAAAAATGGCCATCACTCTAACCACCCTGCTATGTTGATATGAACTCTATGCATTAAGCCAACTAGAACTAGTTCCAGGACATATAGGAATTACGTTTTATGAAACCAAATCCATATCAAAAGGTCAAATTCACAATAATACAGGCATAAAGGAGTATGTATATATGGGTTAACATGGTGTAATGGGGGTTTTAAGATTTAACGGTTTTTAAATATCTTGACAGTCTTTGGTTTTATGTTGTAGGACCAGCAGCACCAACGTGCCCCACAAGTGGGACCTAAACCCAGGCCAACCCCATCCCTGAATGCCCCCAGTGGAAAGCCTGCCGAAATATGTTCACCTCCCCAATTGTACAACAAAAGCGGGAGAGGTGATCCTAATCCTTCTCAAGCTGAGCCCCCGCCCCAGGCGCCGGCCCCAGCTCCAGCCCGGGCCGGACCCCAACCCCTGAGCGATAACCCCAGCCTCGCCAAGGTCCAGCTGGTCATGGCCAGAATGATGCTGCTGCAGGAAGATGTGGATGAGTTTGTTGGCAGAAAGTCGGACAAGAGTTATCGTGTTCTGGAGGAGCTGCTAACCAAAGAGCTGCTGCTGCTGGACTCTGTGGAGACTCAGGGACAGGAGGCCGTCCGGCAAGCCCGAAAGGACGCTGTGCAGAAGATCCAGGCCATATTGGACCAGCTGGAGAAGAAAGCCTTCTGAACTGGACTTATTTACTGGTTTGTCGGTGTCTAAGTCTTGCTGTTTTCCTCTTCCAGATCTTCCATGGACACAATGAAGGTCTACTCTTCTCTCTTCTTCTCTCTGAGGGTTTTTCCACAACCATGATATAAAATGCCTGAAATAACTGGCAAAATGAAATGGAATCAACCTTGTAAAGCCTGATAACACTGGTATAATTGTGTTAGAAGCGCAGACTGACAGTTGTACATATCATAAGTTACTTTGAATCTCAGTGAGTGACTCTGCTGGACACACAACCTGACACTCTTACTCAGCTTTTTCTGTAATGTCATGCCATTGCCAGCATAATGCAGGGCTGAGTGACAGAGAGATGAATTTATTCACATTTTCATGCTGTCCCTCAGGATTGTGGGTGAGTCCGATCCTACATCTAAGAATGTCATGCCCCGTCTATTATTACATCTCATAGTCCGTTTGCATGATATGTCTCCAACCCTGATAGAGGCCAAACAGTTAGTTGCCCTTTGTCCCATCATGTCTCTGCAGGAAGACGTGCAACGCTTTTCTTTGTTAAATAGTGCTCCCAGCCCTGCATGTATTCTAAAGTCCGACAAACATTAAATACACTCATAACATCTAAAAGAAAATGACCGGGCATGGAGCGCAGCAGATTAGTGAAAACCCTCTAAAGATCGCTGTCCCTATTATTCCAGATTTTGGATGAAATGTCTTCCTACCTGCGGACCTAAAATCCAACCTATATATGAATGCCATGTATTTTACTCTAGGAACTACTGTTATTACAGATACATAAGGAACACTTTAAGAACTACTTGAAAAACTGATCAATAGTTATTTTAATCCCTTTTGGAACACTTGGAATATAACTACAGGAAAGTTAATTGTATTTTCAGGATTAAGTGTTCAATATTTTGCTGTAAAAGATAAAGAAAAGGATAAACTTTTTCAGTAATGTTTTCTGCTTAAGGACAATATTGATCGCAGCACTTGTGAGTAAAAAGTGTTTGATTTGGACTTTGTTTCTGTTTACTGCCGCACCAATATCCTGTTTTCCACAATTATTAGTTTTCTTGTGTAGAGTAGACTTTTTTTCAATCATCTTGATGTGTTGATTTAGAAAAGGAGTGCCATATTTCAGGGGATGGTTTTAATTAGAAAAAGAAAAAAAATGAAGATGACAAGCTTTGCATGAAAAAAAACACCTGTCCTATGTGTTCATTTTCCTGTGCTGTTATGTTTTATGGAGCACAACTGTACAGTTTCAGATGTAATGCATGTTTCCAACACAAGATGGAAATCCTTGCCTGACAAGTCTTGAAATTGAGAAAATAACAGAGAAATAATTAAATGTCAATATATTTTCTATCTGTGATCAAATGAATTTATTATCTTTCTCGCTGTTTATTATTGTTCAAAAATAGACGTTACAGAGCAAATGTAAGAAATATTTAGCTCTATTAAAAATGACAATTGATAAAAATCCAGTGTCATACTTAAAAATAAATGGAAACATTTTAAAAGTGGAAACAGACTTCTCATCACTCCCCCTGCTAGTCTTTTCAAATGGTGTTAGTGCCATCACCACAGTCGCAAAGTCAACTGTTACTTCAGTTATTCCACTATCCACCCTTTCCATTTCAGGGGATAATTACTGCTAATAACCTAACACAGGTTTACTACCAGGGAAAACTAAATCGCAATCCATTTCCTGTTGCAGTTGTACAATACAGGATTCCTTTTCGACGTTAAAGCCTTTATTCTCCCAGTAAATCGCACCAAGCAAGGATAGATTTGTACAATGAAGGTGGCTAACATGCAACCAGTCAAAATGTAAGGGGTCATTATTCTGAAGCAATCTATGTACTATCAACATTTATTAGTAATTATAAACGTAAAAGACAAAAAGGTATATTGCTTCTTTAAAGAATTAAAAAAATAGCCTGGTTTTGGTTGTCAAGTGGAAACTGCTGCATGGGTCTAAACTCCCTCCATCTGCCACTCAGCATACAGGCCTTTAAATAGACAGCTATTTTAATGCAAAAGCACAACACAGGCCCCCGGGGGCGTGGGGCTCGGGATAGATTTAATGTGAGGGTCAAATGGCCTGACAAACCTTAGAGCACCCTGTGCCGAGTACATCTGAGGCAAAGAAGCCGGAGCCTAGAATCACCTGGGTCATTTGTGCTGGTAGTTTGACACAGTTTAAAAAGCCTGTTGGAAAAACTGTATTTTCCTCAGATAGACGTGGCCTCAAACTGCATGTAGGTTTTTTCTTTTTGACTTTTTGCTTTTAAAGGACCAGATCTTGCCTCAAAGAAAACCCTGTGCTAAGAGAAGCACACAGAAAACATGATGTCCTACACATCCAAACTTCCCGCGTCCTGGAATGATACGCCTCCCCCTCGGAAGGTGGAAATTGACCTGAGTTCACCTGGATTGGCGGTTTTTGAGTTGGAAAGACTCTTGTTTACAGGCAAAGCCATCATCAGCCATGCAGATGAAGTGTGGCCAAGGCTTTATATCGGTGACCAGTAAGTTACTCACTTTTTATCCAGCCGATTGCCTCACTAAAGTGGAGCATGCCCTTGTAACATTTTGCTGTGTACTATATTTGTCAAAATATCGTGTGTGAGACATTTCAACAAATATTACCCAAGTCTAGAGTTTGATACAGTCCACATAGGCGTAAGAGGAACAGATCATAAATCAGGTTTAAATGGGGTATGAGTAACTTAAGACCCCCCATGTTGCATTCCGCATTGGGAGCATGCGTAAACTACAGTTATGCTATGTGAGAGTTTCCACTGATGAAAGCATGTCTCGGTCATGCATGATTCCAACTTGCATGTCTGAAATTGTCTTTTAAATATCAATGATCACTATGAAATACTTTACATGCATGTGTTTCCTCGAGAAACACCTGCTCTGTTTGTCTGTATATTCGAGCTGTTATATGTGAATTCAGAGTTTTGCGCTTTTCAGGAACAGCGCAGAGAACCGGGCCGATCTCACCAAGCATCGAGTCACACACATCCTGAATGCAGCTCACAGCAAACGGGGGGTGCAGCCAGACATCTACGAGTGCATGGAGATCACATACATGGGCATAGAGGCTCATGACTCCTGTGGCTTTGACATGAGCGTCAACTTCAGGGCAGCAGCAGACTTCATCCACAGGGCTCTCAGCAGAGGAGGTGAGGGGAAGAACATTAATTTAAAAGGCAGTTGTTTTATACAAATAATCTTCAACTGGCAAGATGGTTTCAGATTCTTAGCCGAAATATACAGTTAAACTGATTCCACATGTAGCAGTGGCCGCAGAATAAATATATTAATTTAACAGTTTGGTTAAACCACTAAGTCCGACAACGCCACCCCGGGAATTTCACCCAGGGAAATGTGACACGTTTTAAGTCACTAGGACACACAGGTTCGGTTACTCATGGAACAAGAGACGTGGTCCAATTATCAAAAATAGAACAGTTTATTTGTATACAATAGTAAAAATACAATTTATAAAAACAGTCACACAGGGTTATATCCAAAAGGGAGAACGAACAAGGGGGCTGAGGCTTACCAGTGGGGGAGAGGGTCAACGAATGAGTAGAGGGATCCCACAAAAACAAACTTAAGTCACCCCGGTCACACGTGTTCCACACTCACACAATCACACGGAGAAAAGATCCAAAAACCCGGGGGAAGCACAGCACACGGAAAGGGGGAAGCCACCACCTCGGACACCAACACCTTCTGCTCTCAGTAACTAAAACAGGAAAACAAGGGAAAACACAATAAGTGGAGGACAAAAACACAGAATGAAATAAACCAAAATAAGCCTCAGCCATACGGGCAATCATGCGGCATAAACAAAACGATGCAAAAAGCAAAGAAAGAAAACCTAAACCAAAACCATTATCATATAAACAAACAATGAATTCACCAAAGATATATCGACACTAATTAAGTATAAAATAAGCCAAAAGAAAAGAAAGAAAATAACAAAAGAAAATAGGAACAAACAAAAATAAACTATTAATGAAAAGGAACAACGTAAACAAAATAGTTTAAATTGGTGAAGGAAAGAATAACTAAACAGAAGGAGTTAGCCCAGCAGTCCAGTCACTAAAATCCCACTAGGGGAGCGGACCTATAGTACAGAGTAGGCCACGCTAAACCGGCCCAACCACAGTAGTCAAAAGCGAACAATTTAAGTAGTGTCCAGCAGCACAGGATCGGTAGGGCAGGTGATGATACTGCCGTAGGCAATGCCAAACCGGACCAGACACGATAGCCAGACGCAGACAATCAACTAGCACTTAGCAGCACACAGGATCAGCAGTACGGGTGATGACCCTGCGTCAGAAACCCGTCTCTTTTCGGTGCAGCAAAACAGCAGCGGTTCTTTAAAGCCTTAGCTTGGCCCGATCAGGCAGAGAGGAGAGAGTTTCATGCTCTCTATGTTACAGCTACTTGACGGGCATCGCCAGGAAGACCCTCCGCTACGCCGGTGGCGGTGTCAGTACCAGATATGTTCGGCCTACCAAATATGTTCGGGTGTATTTCCGTCGCATCCGTCATCCGTCATATCCGTCATATACTCACCTCCCTCTGCTCCCAGCGCTATGCTGCCACACACCGGCCGTCTGCGGAACTGCAGCCGGAGGAACTCGGTACAGCTTGTTATGTGTGAACGATCTAGATCCCTCCGCTTCCCCATAATTACCGCGAACATTTTAACTTTCATGACAGAAATGGAGAGCTTTTATGCTGAGATAAAGCAGTACGTGCTCAATGGTGGTTACCACAATCTCACCATCGCCGCTGAAAAGCATGATAAAAGGAAGGCGTTCATTCGGAGGGCATCCAAACAATACCTGATCAAAGGTAAGTAACAGAATAAGACCATGGTTAAGTCACGAACATACGTTTTTATTATGAGGTATAAACCCCCTGTACATGTGACATCATCACATCCCTTTACTTATAGGGATCAATAAAGTATATATCTATCTATCTATTTATCTAATGGTGTTTTTTGGTGCAAAAGTGATCATACCTCTAATGGTTTATCATATTGCAATTCCAACATTTTTCAGTAAATCGCAAGGACTCCACAGCTTGTTTCTCCTTTTTCTTTTTATACACACTTTACATTACTGTAGTTGTTACGTCTAAACCACATTTGCCACTGGATTTCTTGAACAGCTTTTAGTCATAATGTCATCTCTACACATGTCTAAATGATTGTTTTTTTGTTCCTGTTGTGCCAGCTGGAGATTTGTACTACACATACAAGGACAATGAGAGGATGGTTGTGTGCACCAAGGACCAAATTATCAATGTCCTGAAGGAGTGCCATGATAACCTGGGTTCCGGAGGTCATGCAGGGAGAAGGCGCACCACCGAGAAGGTTTTGGCAACGTACCACTGGTCCACTATGCGGGAGGACGTGAAGAAATGGGTGGGAGTTTTTGACTGACTGACTGATTATTGATCTACAGAAATGTGTTGTATGTGTACATTGAAACAGAGTGAGACAGTTTGAGCTCCATCAGAGCAGAGAAAACATATTTCAGAACTTTAACAGTTTAATTCTGTCTCCTCTGAAAGTTTTCTCTGTTCTATCATTTTTATACCTAAAGTTTTTTGTTTTGCTGATTGAAAATGTATGATATTTGCTAAGGTTGATGAGTGTCCCCGCTGCCAGCAACACGAGGTCATTAAAACGGTTGCACCCGTACTGCATCCCATTCATGTTCCCGAGGCATGGACTGTCCTTGGTGTGGATCTCATTGGCCCACTTCCCTCCACTGCTAAGGGCAAAAGGTACTATCATGATGGGCTGAAGCATGTGTAACCTCCTTTAAAGGTTCTAAACGTGAAGAATCTGGTTTAAAAAGAAAGGAAATCATTTACAGTGATTCTGTATGTATTTACAACATTCTGCATTTTATATTGCAGATACATTCTAACAGCGACTGATCTGTTCACGAAGTGGGTGGTAGCAAAAACGCTCTACCACAAAACAGCTGTTGAGGTCTCAAAAAAGATTGTGAATATTCTTCGAGATTTCGGTCTTGTCGAGAAGATCATTACCGACCAAGGACGGGAATTTGTCAATGAGGTACAATAATCTATCTAATACAGTGTATGTGTTATGTGTAACAATGTAATACGATTTTTCAGGTAATTTGGTAATTGGTGTACACTAAACCATCTGCAGGTCAACCGTGGTGTTTTTGATGCACTGGGTGTAAAACACTGCATCACTTCAGCGTACCATCCCCAGTGCAATGGCCAAGATGAGCGTACAAACCCAAACATAAAAAAAGCACTTGCAAAGTACTGTGGAGAGGACCAGAATGACTGGGATTTACATCTGAGGGGCATTGTGGCGAGCATTAACACCTCAAAGCAGGTACAATGTTGTAACAAATGCAGATGGAAACAATACTCAACAGAGATACTAAAAGGAATTTTTATGCTTTCAGAGGTCAACCAAGTGCACGCCCTATTTTGCCCAGTTTGGGAGGCACCCTCGCGTCCCGGGTGTTATAAATGCTACAGTCAATGACAGGGATGATACCTCTGTGTTGGTGCCTGCTGATGAGGCAGAACAGCAGCTTGAGGCAAAGGCTGCAACCATTGCAGATTTGCACTCGAAGGTGAGAATAAAATGGCAATATTTAAAACATAATAACTCCTAAAAAATGCAAGCGTATGTTAAGGACTGTAAATGATAACTGTTACATATCTTTCTCAGATTTACCAGAACATCCAAATAGCACAACAGAGACAGAAAATCTCTTTTGAAAAACGCAAGGGAAAGAATGTGAAATCTTTCCTGATTAACGTTGGAGATGAGGTCCTAAGAGCGAATAAGAGGAAGGAGGGCCGAAAAGGTGGAAAACTGGAGTGCAACTGGTTTGGCCCTTATGTGGTTTCCTCAATCACCAACAAGGGTGTGGCAACCCTGTTGAGCTCAACAGGAGCTCAGCTGAGACAGAGTGTGAATGTGTCTCAGCTGAAGCCCTTTATCAGGCCTATGTTGAGAGGTATTTTGATTATCAATACAAGGACACATTTTAGGTATACTTCATGTGTGGTACTTCAATAATACTGTTTATTTTTTGTCTATCTAATAACAGCTGAACCGAAGTTGGATTCGGAGGGGTCTGTTGCTGACCACCAGTATGCCCTCTCTGGTGCGAAATACGCAAAGGATCTACATCCGATTCAAGACAAGCTGGTAGATATATGTTTACTTCATGCACAGTGATGGAGGTGCATTGTTTTGATTTTAATTTTTCTATGTTTTCTATTGGCTTGAAGTATGTTTTGCAATCTGTTATTTGCAGCTCAGCTATGTGCTAGACCACAATAGGCCTGGAGCAGAGGTCATTGTGAAGGAGGGTGATGTGTGCCTGACCAGAGAGGACTTTTGGAGCCTGGGTCTTCCTCAGTGCATGGAGTCAAATGTAGGTATACTTGAGCTTTCCTCCCAACTTCATCTTGTCTCAAATAAATGGCACAGGTAACTTACTGTTGTTACTGTTTCAGATTGGAAACACGTGCCTGAAGATGGTACAAGAAGCCACCCAAAGACATGTACGGTTTTCAACAGACATCATTGGCCTGCTTTTTTCTTTTGAATAACACATATTTTCTAAATAGCTGTTTAGTGGTGAAACTCCAATCTCGTGAAGTGTGGTTGTCTCTTGTTGTTGAACATACTTCTATGAAGATTTCATTTTTTTTGAAAAACTATCAATATAGGGCAAAGATATATACATCGTGGATATGTATGTGGTTCCTACCTGGAAGTCCAAAACAGCTGACGTGTTGGCCAGTTTTCCAGTAAGTTCCTGTTGCTTGAGACCTATGTTTCTTGAAATTGATATACAGCAACTTAAAATCCCTTGTTTAAAATACTAGGCTGACCAATTGGCCACCAAGGACATGGTTTTCATCCCTGCCTGGAGTCGGCAGCAAGGAAAGGCAGATCACTATTTGCTTTGCGTGAGTCTGTTCCAAATGATCTCACCAGCATGTACAAAATGAACATAAGTTGTGCTGTGTGGTTTTCTTCTGGTGTTTGATTATGTCTAATTTCAGCTATTTTGTCAATGGTTGACAGGTGATCAAGCCAGCAAAGAGAGAGTTATATTTGCTCGACCCTCTTAAGCCAGATGGC